ACTCATCGCCGGGTCGAACGTTACTCCTCCCCTCCCCTCCCTCCCTCCCTCCCTCCCTCCCTCCCTCTCCCTCTCTTTTCCTCTCTCTTCCTCTCTCTTCCTCTCTCTTCTCCCCTCCCGTCATTCTTCGTTTGTCTCACTGGTCTCAGGTGTGCCGTCGATTCGGTACCAACGGAGAAGAAGGTCGAGCAGCAGGAAATCTCCTGCTCTTCTCTATTTCCCGATGGCAGCGCCTTCCTCCTGGAACCTGCAGGACAAGATTTCAAATGGTTCCTCCTCCCCTTTCCCTCCCCCTCCTCCGTCTCGATCTTCTGCTCTTGCTGTTGCCCTTCTGTCTCCGCATCTCCTTCCCTCATGCTTGTCCTCGTCACTTGCTCATCGTCTGCTGCAGGAAACTCTTCCTCTCCTCCCCTTCCTCTCCCCTCCTGCGCCTTCAAGTCTGCGGCTCCTCAGTCGCTCGTGCTGGAACCCTCCGCCTCCGCCTCGAGGAGAAGCTGGCGGCCTTCGATGACGCCGCCTCCTACTGGGAGGTGTTCCGCGACCCCAAGTGAGGAGAATGAGAGCAGCAGCAGCAGCAGCAGCAGGAGGCAGGGAGGGAGGCAGGGAGGGAGGGGAAGGGGGCAGGGCAGGGAGAGGGAGGGTAAGATGGTGACAAGAGCTGGAGGCGTGAAGCTGAAGCAGGATGCGGATGACGACATGACAGGGCGTTGAAGAGAATGACGGAGCTCGGGGAAATGGCGGGGGCAAGCAAGGCTGGAGGTGAAAGGAGGAGGAGGAGGAGGAGGAGGAGGAGGAGGAGTGAATGAAAATTGACACAGGCAGGTGGCGGGTGAAAAGAGTGATCTTCCCCATTTCTGAAGGTGGAAGTTCAGTTATGAGCCAGTCCGATGAGGTGAATAAAAATCCTGCTCCTTTCCCCTCCTCTCCCCTCCCCTTCTCTCCTTCTCTCTCCTCTCCCTCCCTTCTCTCCTCTCTCTTCTCCTCTCCTTCTTTCTCCTCTTCTTCTTCCTCCTCTCTCCTTCACTTCCTCACATTGAGATGCAGATCGTTCGGGAGGACGAGAAACTCCCGTAAGTACTTCGAGCCCTCCCATCCGCCTTGCTTCTTTTCTCTTACTTGTCTTCACTTTCAGCGTCGCTCCTCACGGTCTCTCGTTGCATTTCCATGGCGACGCTTTGCGGATTTCGTTCGAGCCAGTCGAAGGCATGCGAAAGACGTTCAGGTAACTGCTGCTGCTGCTGCTGCTTCCTCGCTGACAACCTCGCAGAGCTTCTGTGCGCGATGGAAGATTGGAGGAGGTGGAGCTGAGAGAGGAGGAAAGAGTTTAATGCATCAAGTCTACTCCCCTTCTTCCTTCCCGCACTTGCTGGCGTCTCTCCCTCTTGTCTTCACGCCGTCTGAGCCTCGTTGAAGTGCAAGCGGAAGATTTCCTGCTCCTCGTCACTTCCTCCCTCCCCTCCACTCCCCTCCCCCCTCCCACCTTGGCGTTGAATCGAGAGGAGGAGACCGACCCGGGCTTGGGCCTGCAGCAGCCCCGTCACTCCTTGCCCTTCTCCTGCCTCTGTTGCTCTCCCCTAACCCATCAAGTTGTCCTCCCTCAACCTCCCCCTCTTCTTCTCGCTTGTCTCCCTCCTCTCACCATCGTCCCACGTCGAGCATGTCCATGTCCTCCGAAGAAACCACAGCATGCTCTGGACCCCATGATCCTGCGAAAGAGAAAGTGAAGGAATGGAGGACGAGGACGAGGTCGAGGAAGAGCAGGAACAGGAGCAGAAACCTCGTTTAAGTGCGATGTTGTAGACAAGAGTTCCCTGTGTCATTGTGCGTGAGATGAAGCTGAACAGAGGAGGAGAAGAGGAGAGTGACACGGAGCAAGGGGAGGAAGGGAGGAGAGGATGGGAAAAAGAATCATGAGGACAGATGGATCGTGAGGAGGACGAGGACGAGGACGAGGACGAGGACGAGGGGAGGAGGACGGAGAAGAGGACGAAGGGAGGAGGACGGAGAAGAGGATGAGGGGAGGAGGACGGAGAAGAGGACGAGGGGAGGAGGACGGAGAAGAGGATGAGGGGAGGAGGACGGAGAAGAGGACAGGTTGGACTTGTCAGACCGCGGCTGTCCTGCCATTGCGAAGGAACTTGATGATCACTCGTGAGCCACGCGGACCTGCGAAGAGGGTAAGAAGCATGAGGAGAGGGGCAAAGAGAAAACAGGAGGAAGAAGAAGTCGAGAGCAGGGGAGAAGGAAGAGGGGAGGGAAGGAAGAGAAAGAAGCGGTTGGGGAAGGGGTTGGAAAAGTATTTCACCCGCGATCTTTTCTCTGAGCTCGTCGAGGGTCATGCCAGTCGTTGCTGCGAGAGAAGAGAGTGAGAGAGAAGGAAACGAGCGAAAGAAGGGAGCGAGGAGAGAAGGGAGGAGGAAGGGGGGAGGGAAGACTGACGGGTGCCGTTGACTTCGAGGAGGATGTCGTTCTGAGAGAAGTCAGAGGAAGAAGATAAACAGGTCAGACTTACCTTCTCGATGACTCCTGACAAATCGGCCGAAGATCCTGACCAGCCGCGTCAAAGCAGATACGAAGGAAGAGGAGAGGAGAGGAGAGGAGAGGAGAGGAGAGGAGAGGAGGTGGCTCGCTTAGGGGAGGATGAGGAGGCGATCGGAAAGGAGTTCTCACCGTGTAGTACGGACTTGACGTACATGGTGCTCTGAGTTCCTCCTGGTCAACGTCAGTCGAGGAGGAGCCACGTGCTACAGCACCCAAGCTTGTCTTCTCCACTGTCTCTTCGATCTCACACCCGATCCCTGCCGCTCTGATCAGTTTCGGCTCATCCCCCGCCTCCTCCTGTGCCCTCGAGTACCGCAAGGGTTGGGCAGCGAGTAGAAGCGGTCAAGCTCGAGCTTGTAGTTGTCTCGCTCCTGCCGTCACCCGCTTACTTGCTGAGGGCGTGGAGGCTCAGGCAACAACCTGAGTAAGGAAGTACACGTCCTCGTTGATGCGCCGATGGAGATCCGCGAGCTTTTGCGCGTCTGAGACTCGAGTCAGAGAGTGAAGGGAGGAGGGACCCGCAGCAGCAGCAGCAGAAATGGTGGCCCACCCGTCAACTTGAGCTCATTGAGCTCGTTGTAGAGTTTCTCAATCTACATGTCCCGTCACTTCTCATCCTCCTCCTCTCCCTCCTCCCCTCGCCTGCTTGTTCGAATTTTCGCACTCCTCACGCACTCGTTTCTCGCTGTCATCTCCTGAGCTGAACGATCGAGGACAACAGAACAAAAGAGCTCCACCTGAGTTGAACGATCGAGACCTCAGCCTTGAGCTCTTCCACCATGTCCTCCACGTTACGCTACATCCTCGTCATCCCCTCCCTACCCGTCCCCTTCTTACCTTCTCCGTCGACAGCGACAGCACCTTGGCTTTCAGCTGGGGAATCGCTCCCACCTGCCCCGCCCATATGTCAACCTTCTAGCACGCGCGAGGGGAGAGGAGCCGCCAGCACCTGAATCTTGAGGTCTGCGAGCTGAGCCTCCAGCTCTTCGATCTTCATCTCTCTCTCACGCAACTTGATCGCTCCGCGTCAGCTGCTGCCAACACACGCTCGCACAAGCTGCTTACTGCATCGCGCGTCTCGGCCAGACTCCTGCTGATGGCGTCAGCTCTCCCCGCTGCTCCTCTCTCGCACTCACTTGACCAGTCCCGTGCATCGCTCGCCCACATCATGCAGCTGCTTCTCCGCTACGGCCGCGGTCGTCAGCTGCTCCCTCCCTCCCTCTCTCATTGCATCACCGATCTGACGGTCTGCTCGCTCGCGCTGGAGCTCGCTGGTTGTGTCCTCGTACTTGGCCTGGAGACGAGCGGGTGAGGAGCGACGAGAGACGCGGACTCACCTTGAGCTCTCCGATGGACTTCTCCAGGATCTGCTCACGATCGCTGACGGAAGGCATCAGCTCAGCCTTCCCCTCTCCTTCTCCTCCTCACCGTAGGGGCTGCAGCTCCATCTCCAGCACGCGACTCGCGCTCTAGCAGCAACACACATGAGCTGCGCTACGTGGAGGGGGCAAGCAGCATCACCTGAGCGTTCTCAGCCTCCACCTTGGCCTTGCTGTTGGACGCAGAGGCGGCACGAGGGTCAAGCGGCAGCGCAGGACGAGGAGGCGAAGTCACCTCAGCAGCTGCTCGAGCGTGGCGAGGTCAGCCTTTTGACGCGAGGTCTCGTCGCGGAGGAAGGTGAGCTCTGTCGCAAGGCTGTCACTACACCGCGAGGCGTCCAGGAGCTCTCGGGTACCAGACTCGAGGGTGCTGCACTTGGCTTCTGTGGAGGCCTGGGAGGGGACGGCACGGTCAGTCGCCGGACAACAAGACGGGAGGCGGCAGAGGGCGGGAGGAGCTACGAGCGTCACACACCTGCGAGGACTTTGACTTCTTGACCTCCGCCTGCATCCGACGGCTCGTCAGGTCACCAGCCCCCCGTCGAGCGAGGGTCACCTGGAGCTCAGCGATGACTGCCTTGCGTGACTCTACTTCCGCTTCAGCGCGGGCGAGCTTCTTCTTGCAGTCCTCGAGCTGTCAGGATGAGTGCGGGTGAGGAGAGAAGGAGAGGCGGCGGGCGAGCTGAGACCTGGCTGGTGACCTCGACGAGCTGAGTGGAGGTGGCAGTCAAGGACTTGATCTTCTCGCTAAGCTCGGCCAGCCGTGCCTGATCGACTTTCAGTGCCCCTTGCGTGACTGACCCACAAACCTTGAGAATTTCATCCTCGTTCTGCGTTTGTCTTCTTGTCTGCATCTCATCGAGGATGGAAGATTGCAGCTTTCGCTCTCGCTCTGTTGCAGCACAACACTGTCACCGACTCTTCCTCCCGCTGACTCTCACCTTCTGCTGTCTTCCGAGCAAGCTCCTCCAGCTGCGCTGCCTTCTTCGCTGCCTGGAATAGCGACGTCAGGTAAGCTCCTTGCCCTGGAGCCCGTACTTCAGCTTCGATCTCGGCCTTCTTTGCGCGTTCTTCGGCTTCCTTGATCTGCCGCAGGAGGACTTCGATCTTGGCCTCAAGGCGCTGTCGACACATCAGAAGGAGAGAGGAAGAGAGAGCAGGGGGGGGGGAGCAGGGGCGATACCTGACAGTCACCCTTGACTCGGTCACGTTCGTCTTCGACGACCTGGAGGAGGAGAGGGTTAGAGTTGATGGACTGTATCAGCGTTGACGGACTAGGAGAAGACGAGAAGTGTAGGAGGGGTCGAGGCACCTTGATCATGTTCTCTGCCTTCACTTTGGCCAACAATTCGGCTTTTGTCCGATCGTTTGCTTGGTTGACGTACATCTCAAGGGAGGCAATCTTGTAGCCCTCGAGTCAGTGGCACTCGGAAGGCTGCAGCCCCTACCTTGGCCATGAAGGATTCTCTTTCTCTCCTGTACGAAATCACGTCGCTTTCGCGCGCCTGTGGCACATCACACGACATGAACAGCGTCATGTGCGACAAGCTACCATGATCTCGGCATGCGCGTGCTGCAGCTGGTCATAGAGAGCCCAATATCCCGCCTGCTCGCATTCATCAACCATCACGATGTCCTCCTGCCCTCAGGAGTCGCTCACGTTTCCTCGCTCAAGCTCCATCCTCTCGCGCTCTCCGTTGGGCCTCAAAATCAAGAAGCCGCAGAAAGTACCACTGGGCCCCTGCAGAGCCTTAGGAGGCATGAGGAGAAGCGTGGCTGAACCTTGAACAAAGTCTTGACTCGCTCCGTGCTCATCTTGGTTGCCTTCACGTCTTCGCCTTCTATCGCCAGGATTTCGTCGCCTGCATTGACCTTGCCTGCTTCAATTCATCATCTCCTTGACCCCTTTACACCTTCCGAACCCGATCTGAAGGCTGAGCCATGCTTGATAACTTCTTTTACGGTGACGGAAACTTCTCCTTCAAACACATCTCATTCGATGTTTCTACTTTGCTGCAATGTCGTCCACACCTTCTTCGTTCGAAATTCTATCAAATATGATCCCTATTCCGTGATCGCCTGGTGTTGATGTGAGTGCAAGGTTTGCGGCGAGCAATCGATTACCTTCGAACGTGAAGACCTTCCTATCTTCTTCAAAGTCCATGTACAGAGATTGCCCCACAGCTCGAGCTACAACGTCGGCAAAGCCTGCATATTCATTCAGGTAAAGCATATTCATTCAGGTAAGCATATTCATTCAGGTAAGCATGCCTCCCTCCCTTTTCAATGATTCAGTCAAGTCCTAATGGAGCTGCTGGTCCAACGTATCGCTTTCATATCTCGATGCCTACATCTCTCGACAATCTCCTCACTTTGTCCTTCTCGCTGCCTTGATGCTATCATTGCATCCTCATGTAGTATTGTCGCTGTCTATCTGGCTTATTTCCCATCCTCCTCCTCCTCCTCTCTCCTCTCTCCTCTCTCCTCTCTCCTCTCTCCTCTCTCCTCTCTCCTCTCTCCTCTCTCCTCTCTCTGACTCTGCC